AAGGCTGCACCAAAAAGTGAGAATGGCCTTTCACACAGTTTCTGAGGTTAGATGGCCACTGGTCAGTGATATAATGCAGAGGATGTCCAAAAGATGAAAAGGACAAAATCAAAAGCTATTCAGGACTCTAAATCCATGATATATCCCCATTCTACTGTTTGCATTCTGGTTATCTGAAATGCCTGGGGTCGGATGTGTTCTGGATTTCTCATTTTTTTTTTAATTTAAAATATCCCCATGACTAATTTTGTCTCACATATGACTTACCCAAGTAGCCTAAAAGCACTTACACAATATTTTAGCATATCTGCATTTTGTGACCATCACTTGAAGTCTGAGGTGGCATTTCCAACTTGTGGCCACATGCAATACTCAGAAAAGTTCAGATTCTCAAATTAGGGATGCCCAGTGTGTATGCAGAAATCATTTATTGTTGTTGCTCGCTTAAGTAATTCTTACAAGCCTGCTGAAATTTCTGGAAGGCCTCTGGCTTAAAGGAGACTGGATATGAATGTTTGACCATCTTTTCCGTTGTTACGGTAACCAGAGAAGGGGATGGAGCAGAACAGATTGGTGATCACAGAATTTTGAGCAGTTGCTGCAAACAAAGAGAAAGCTGCCAATATCTAACAAAAGGATGAAAGAGCAGTGTTTCAACACATCCCTTGAAGAAGGAATAGCAGATATACAGGACCACAATGTATGACAGAAATTCAGATATAAATGCCTACCCAAACAAATGAGGGCAGATAGAAAGGACCATGAACACGATTTGGGCTGAGGCTTATTAAAGGAATTATTCTGAATTTGAAGTATAAGGTTTTTAACCATGGTTCATCAATAGCATTTGCTTCCAGTAAGTGAATATTTGCATGACCTGAGAATATTTCCAGGAATTATTTGGAAATACAAGTTGATGGCTTGAAGTTGCTGCATTAGTAGAAATTGTCTCCCTCTAACCTGTACAAGCTCCCTGTCCAATCGGAAGGATGAGAAGGAGAGTGGTCAGCCTACCTTAGTCACTCAGATATCGGCCAAAATAAAATACAGTCTAGCCTGATCTATTGTCCAAATGAATTAAAAAGCATCTGGAACTATTTTAATTGAATGTAAACTGAAATAGTGAAATTAGGCTCATTGCAACATAATTGTTAATAAGGTCTCCTTGTTCTTTGTTCATGTGCTTCACTACGTTGTAAGTACAAAATCAAGAACTGAGTTAAGTTTGGAACTATTCCAGGGTTGTGTTGAGGGACTTGTGAAAATTCATACAAGATGAATTACAACATGTCTCACACTTCCCTTCAGGTTCTTTAAAGGAAGCCTGGTGACCCTCATGACATCCGATTTGCTTCACAAATGTATGCGTTCTTACCTGAGCTCCACTCTTTCTGAAAAAACATTGAACGATGCTACTAGGCAAAATATAGTCCAAGCATAAGGCATGGATTACAGCAGGAAGAGCCCACAGCCTGCGGCTGTGACGTGAGAACTCATGAGAGCAGCCTTCCCTCTGCAGCTCACCCCAGGGAGGAGGCTCTCGTGGTCCCTGGCTCCATCCAGCTGCAGGTGCCCAACCTACAGATCACCATACAGGGCAGCACACTTCTAAACTCACTCAGGAAGTCATATGAGAAACACACATGGGTGTTTATTACAGAAATTCATCAGAATACTGTGGGATAGAACTCAAAATTAGGGATCTTTTTCCACAAATTTATTCAGCTCAACAAGACTTCAGGGGAGCATTTAGATTTTGCCTCTAATTCGTTCTGGAAATGGTAAATTATGAAAAAAAAGAGCCATGTGTTCTAAAATTTTATGGGTCTTTTTGGTAAATATGAAGTGAATTTTTTCTTTTCTTTCTTTCTTTTTTTTTTCAGATTTCATCAATGCTTCTGCTTAGGAAATGGCTGGGAATGAAAACAAATCTCCGTGGACTGAGGCTCTAGCAGTCCACTTCTGACAATGGGATTCCAGTCCTGGCTGCTCCACTGCTGATTCGGCTCCCTGCTTGTGGGCCTTGGAAAGCAGCAGATGGCACAAGGCATGGATGCCTGCTACCCATGTGGAAAGCCAGTAGAGTTCCTGGCTTCCTTGGGCAGCCAGGTTCAGTCCTGGCCTTTTGGGAAGTGAACCAGTTAATCAAATAGTTGTCTGTCTCCTTCTCTCTGAGTTACCGTACTTTCCAAATAAACAAGTAAATATTTGAAAAATAAAAATGAAAATTGTTGGGCCCAGCATGGTGGCCTAGCAGCTGAAGTCCTTGCCTTGAACGTGCCAGGATCCCATATGGTCGCAGGTTCTAATCCCGGCAGCTCCACTTCCCATCCAGCTCCCTGCTTGTGGTCTGGGAAAGCAGTAGGGATGGCCCAAAGCCTTGGGACCCGACCATGGCAGCCACTTGGGGTGTGAATCAGCAGATGGAAGATCTTCTTCTCTGTCTCTCCTTCCCTCTACATCTCTGACTTTCCAATAAAAATAAATAAATAAATAAATCTTAAGGAAGAAAAGACCTGTAGACACGTTCACTATGTGTCATGAGATTGTCCCCACCCCCCCGAAAAAAAAGAAAAAAAAACTTACCATGTCTACAGACATGACTTTTTCTAACCCCATTCTAAATGTAGATATACAGCTGAGATTCTAGGCCCAGCATTACTGTCTCCCCCCTGGCCAGGAGCTAGGTCACTCAGAACTGAACTCAAAAAATCAGTCCTTCAGGAGCAAGCTAAGACATAGCACTTGAGATGGTCCTTGAGCCACCTGTATCGCATAACACACTGCCCAGTTTCAATTGTAACTTTGTTCTCAGTACCAGCTCCCGGTTAATATATACATCCTGGGAGGTTCAAGTAGTTGACTCCTGTGTTCACGTTGGAGACCTAGACTGAGTTACCAGCTCCCAACTTCAATCCTAGGCTCAGGACCAGCCAGTCCAGGGCATTTGTGGAATAAACTAATGGATGGGAGATCTCTCTGTCTCTGTGTCTAAAACAATTTTTCTAAATTATGAAAGCCTCACCCAAAGGGCTCTATTTCTTTAAACCAAACTTCCACAAGCTAAGCAGCACCACTATTTCTAAACTGCATTCCCAAGTCTTGCCCAGTTAGCTGCAGGTACAGCTTTTCTGTGTGGGCATAGTAACTTAGTAAGAAGACAGACTATTTGATGACTGAGGTTGAGTTAGAGAGACAGGTAAGTCAGCACCTTGGGGGAAGAAATTCTGCTGCTTGATTTTCTGAGTGATTTAGACCTGGTGTTCTGTCTCTGGGAATACATGATAATACTGCTATAAAAGGGTACTGGTGTTGTGACATAGAAGTAAACCTACCACCTTTAATACCCAGCCTCCCCTACAGGCACTGGTTCGTATCCCAGCTTCTCCACTTCTGATCCATCTGCCTGATTCTTTGTATGGGAAAGCAGCAGAAGATAGCACAGAAGTTTGTGTCACCCCCTGCACCCACTTGGGAGACCCAGAAGAAGCTTCTGGCTCCTGACTTTGGACCAATCATGTCCATTCTCCCCACCCAACTTTGCTTTTCCAAGTAAATAATTCTTAGAAAGTAAAAGAATGGCTCTTCTTACTTATTTTAGGTTTACTCTGTTGCATAAATCAGAGTCAAGAAACATCAGGAAAAAAATCTTGATATTTCTCATTGGTCTTGGCTTCGGGAAACCACGGGAGTTTATTCCTTTTCTTGTATGTTTCTTTTAATAGGGAGTTGAGAGAAATGAAAAAAGAATTTAATTGACACTAGACTGATACCATATTCAATGAATACTCTCCTCCAGAAACTTACCTTCCCAAAATACCTTTTAAGTTTTCTGAGTTTGAACTTGTTCAGGAAACTGATTACTATGCATAGCAGACACCATTCTCCAAAGATGGCTACAAAAATATTTTGTATCTCTCATACAATGGTGCAATGTGACCTTGATATTCTCTTATCAAGATATGGAGGAGTCAATTTTTCCATCCTTTTGAATCTGTATTAGATTTTCACCTCCAGGTCAATAAAATGCGACAAAATGGCATTGTGAAGATTTTTTTTTTTTCTGGCCCTTTCATTCTTGTTTTCTAAAGAGCTTTCTCTTGGGGAAATTAGTTACCATCCTGGAATAAACCAGGCAGACTATATACAGAATGTCCTAGGAGAACAGCTCTAGTTGAGTTCTCTGAAAACACCTGGAATCAACTGCCAATCATCAGAAAAGCTACCTGCAACATTCAACCCAGTAGAGCGTTGGGCTCTCCCAGGCACCTGCTGAAGACAGGTCAACTTAAGGAATTTAAAAACATATTCATCAAGCAAAATCAAACTAACTTCACAAATGCCCATAAGCTCCTCGAGTGTTAAGATGTCAGTCCTGCCTCATTTACCAATGTTTTTGCACCAATTCCATTTAGTTGCTAAAGCATTGTTTCCTTTCTAACTTTCAGAGCATCTGAAGCTAAAAATATCAAGCAGAGGAGCTGTTGGTTTATGTATTGCCTTTCTCTGTGTGAGCCTCCACCTGTTTTAAAATAAGGATTAATATTTGGCAGTCTTCTCCATTGCCTATTTTTTTTAAGATTCAGTTTTTCTTTATTGGAAAAGCAGATTTACAGAGAGGAGAAATAGAGAAAGATCTTCCATCTCTTGGTTCACTCCCATAGAAGCTGAAAGGGACAGAGCCGAGCCAATCCAAAGCCAGGAGCCAGAAGCTGCTTCCAGCTGCCCCACATGGTTGCAGGGTCCCAAAGCTTTAGGCCATCTTCTATTGCTTTTCCAGGCCACAAGCAGGGAGCCGGAAGGGAAGCAGAGCAGCCTGGACACCTGCCAGAGCCCATATGGATCCTGGTGCTTGTAAGGAAAGAATTACCAATTGTGCCATCACACCAGACCCTGAACTCAAGTTTTTATTTAAAGAGATCCCTGGTACTTTTTCTCCATCCTGCTTTCATGAGTCATTACTAATGAATTACTGACCATGCAGTGAGCAATCTCATTCATCCCCAATGTGCACAGAAAACCCATTGAGCTGGGCCCTGCATTGCCTTTTGATTTACACAAGGGTTAAATCATTGCTTTACATAAAATATATTAAATTGGTTCCTTGCCTCAGTGTCCATGGCTGCCCTTGAAACGGATGCTCCGGATGCTCTGATGCACTTCAGTCACACCTTCTGGACTAGCTCTGGATGGCAGGCCTTCCATTAGGATCTTGTGTTCTTTTCTGAATTGGTGATAAGGTTCTGAAAAGAGAAAGTGAAATGCTAAAGAGAAAGCTAGTTCTTCTACCCAGTTACTCAGTGAAACAACCAGAACCTAAGAATGTGAAGAAGGGCGGGCTGAATTCACTTCATAGAAAGCAATGAAGAGAAAGCGGCTCTCAGCCTCCCCACTTCATGGTACGAACAACTCCCACAATTGTAATCAATGCACCGTCCCTTGGGGGTTGGTGATAATGAATTTCCATCAGCTTCCAAAGACAGGCAAAGGACCTCTGCACCTCTCTGAGCCAAGGGCACTAACATGAGGTGCAGGAAAACTTTGCTCCTTCAATTGTTTAAAACTCAAACGTCTTCTGCAAAAAAAAAAAAAAAGAGTTACAGGGTAACTCTAGTCAGAAAAGGGATGGATTTTTTTCTGTTGAATCAATGAAGAAAAGTTATTAGCGATGATACATCTTTTAAGTAAAAAGGAAAACTGCCAGTGTCAAATATGGCTTTGATCTCATTGTCATTTTAGATGAGTAACTTCTATTTTTCTGTTTTCACCAAAGAACGTCGTTTTACAAAATAATTTCCATATTACCAGGCAGCCAAAGAACACATTAATGGGAATTATTATAGAAAGTTTTAGGTGGTCGCTTGATTTTCAAAATTATTTCATTTTCTTCTTTACTTTCTGATAATGTTTTCAAAATAATTTCTTATAGCTTTACCTGGCATAATAGATGAATAGTCTCTTTTATGCCTAAATATGAATTCCAAGTAGCTTATATATTGAGTAACATAGCTTTTTTTTACAGTTCATTTTGTGGCTTAAAGAATGAAAACCATATTAAAAGGTCAGGATAGAAGTACTTGTTATATTTCACTTATCTGAAAAAATGTTTCATCAAATAACAAATGAATAAAATCATACAACAGAGAAAGAATCAAGGTCGTGTAATAGGTCACAATTTTTTTCTATTTAAAGTGGATGCAATCTGATATAAAGAAGCTATTCAAATGTTTATTAAAGTTTTAAGAAGGAACTAAAGATACGTTGACAGCAGACTTTGCATTCATATTTTACATCAGATTTATTTCTTTATTCAGTGAATAATCATTGAACCTCGGTTTAAGCAGAAAAGCATTATATAGCCAGGAAGTCAATGCTATTTTTCTTTAAGTAGATGGTGTTTTCTTTACTGTGTTAGTCATAATGGCTGCCAGGGAAAGAGGCCCAGTTCACCAGTTCACACTAACCAATGTGAAAAAGTTGGTACCCATATCTGAAAATCTTTAGAATAGACAGGTGTGGGTGTTATCATGAGTCCTGTCTCTTGGAGCTTTGTTTCTCTGTGTTGACTCTATGCTTGAACAAATCCTACCACTCTATGCTACACAGCCACCATTGTCCCAATGTTGGATGCCAGTGGGTAAAAAAGTGCATCTTCACAAATAGCTCCAGGTAACAATTAGTTCAGCTTACATCATGCTTTGTGTCTACTCATGGACCAATCCACTACAGCAAGAGAGAACTGATATTCTAATTTATCAAATTCCATGTCTGCCCCTAAAGTGGAAAAATACCAACAGAATAAAGCTTTAGCCAAATAAGCAGGAATGAAATAGTGGACCAACATTCCCTAGCTAAAAAGGAGGAGTTGCAGGGCCTGGCGCGGTGGTGCAGTAGTTAAGGTCCTCGCCTTGCACGCCCGGGATCCCATATGGGCGCCAGTTCTATCCCTGGCAGCTCCACTTCCCTTCCAGCTCCCTGCCTGTGGCCCAGGAAAGCAGTCGAGGACGGCCCAAAGCTTTGGGACCCTGCACCCGCATGGGAGACCTAGAAGAGGCTCCTGGCTTCAGATCGGCATAGCATTGGCCGTTGCGCTCACTTGGAGAGTGAATCATTGGACGGAAGATCTTCCTCTCTGTCTCTCCTCTCTGTATATCCGCCTTTCCAATAAAAAAATAAATAAATAAAAATAAATCTTTAAAAAAAAAAGGAGGGGTTGCAAAGGCTGTCCTTAGCCCTCTAAAATCTTGTGTCAGATCCAGGGACAGAACATTCTGCCTGTCACTGCCCAGGTTTACACATACTGTGAGTATTTGCAAACAAATAAACAAACATACTGAGAGGCCTAACACCTCAAGGAGAAGGGAAGCCTGCCACTTGTTGAGAGGCCACTGACTGTCCCTCAGCAGGTGGCCAGGAAAACACACTTTCCTGATTGAATTAGAGACCACCAATGGGGAAAGTCCTCCCCAGGGGCTCCCTCCCAAAGTGGAGTCAGAGAACCCTTAAACACCCAGAACACTTCCTGTGTGAGGAAATCTCTCCCTCTCTCCTTTCAAGAGCACCCCCCACCCATCTCTTGGGTTCCTCCAAGGATACGTTTTCCCCTTCTTTCTTTTCCCATTTACCTCTTCACTTTGTAAATAAAATTTCATCTGCAACGAATCCCTGTCTTTTTATTTGTATACTAAGCTGAGGAAAGAACCCAAGCAGCTTTTACCAGTAATGCTTAACCTGAGGGCAAAAATGGCATCTGCATACTCCATCTATACTCAAGAAACTGCAGAGGAGATTGAGACACAAGTACATAAACAGCTACGCTCCTTTCTACACACACACACGCATAGGTCCCCAATGTGATACGAAACAGGCATACGTACACAACGTAATATGATAGGAAACCAAATCCTGATGTATGGGTTTTCCACTCTTCACGTGTAAGTGTGCTCACACCGCTGCAGAAGCAGAAGGGATGCCTGCACACACTGATCTTTTATGAATCCATACGAACAGTCTCTGGCACAGCACCCTAAAATGAAACAGGAAGTGAAAAAGGCTGTTCCACTCGACATGTCAGAGTTTGCATACAATCTGATCTCTGAAGTGTGAACAGAATTTTTGCAGATTGATGGTATGTGTAGTAGAAACAAAATAAAATATGAAACAGAGAAATAATTAAATTAGGAAAATAAGTTCGTGAAACTAAAAGTGGCTTCTCTTTAACATGGTTGGGTTGCAATTAGCAAGAGCCCCACATCAAAGTAACTCCAACATAGCATTTCATAGAGGACGGTGAGTGGCTGTGATAGGAAAGATCTTTATATTCTAAGGGGCCTATACACAAAATTTAGAGTCTGGATCAATGCTCTATCCACCAAAACTGTCTTGTTTTACTCTTTCAATTTCTCTGGTGTCAGAAGTGATTTATATTTAACTATTGTCACCTCAGTGTCTTTTAAAACAGTCATGAAGAATTCACAGGGAGAACTCTTACGGTGTACATAAATGAAAACATCAAAGGGATAGTTAATGAATAAGTAATACAGGGTTCTGGCTTTAGCCTGGACATCGTCACTCTTGTCCTTACAACACGAAAAGGCAGTTTTCATGGATTCATCAGAGAACTGGAGTTCCAAGGACAACCTCCATGCAAACCCTGGAGAGAAAGAAACAGGAATCCAGAAAGCTGCAACTGAGATCTGTTACCCCAGAGCTGAGGCTGTTGGGTCCAGAAAGAGGCGAGGTTGACGATTTGTTGATCTGTTAGACGCTGGTTGTGAATAAGCACATGAGTGAGAAAGTGCGAGGAGCCCTAGTTTTCAGGCAGACTCACACTTTCATGCGTTTAACTTTGAGAACACTGGCTCCCACATTCTCAGGGCAAAGATCTGAGAAAGAAGACAACAAGGCACTGGAAGGTGGAGGGAAGACAAATCAACAAAAGCAAGCCCAAAGTGGTCTTTGTTATAGAAGCCACTTAGGGACAAGACTGTTGGCGCTTCATCCCAGCTGGGGGAGGCCATTTCTCACCTTCCTGGCCACTCTAACATTTCTGTCATATATGAAGGACTGAAAAAAAAAAGTCTATCCATAGAAAAAATAATTGTGAAGACCCTAGATGAAAGAGAAGCCCACCAATCAAAGGGATGGTTTCCATTCTCTCACACCGTACCACCACCCCATGCAGGGCTCCAGTGTAGCAATGCTGGCATAACACTAAAGTGACAAGGCATAGATTCTCTCTGAGGCACACAGGGAAGCCAAGAGACAAGACAGCATCCCAGAAATAAGCTCAGTAGAGGAATTTGCAGACCCTGGAACCTAGAGCTACAGTGAACATTCAGCACAGTCTAATTTCTCACCAAATTACCATAAGATAAACAGAAAAGGCCCGTTTATCTCAGTTCCCTGTATAAGCATGCCAGAAATTCAGAAAAGGTGGCAGGTCATGACATGAAACAAGCAAAACTAAGTACAATCTGATAACATGAAGCATGCCAAACTCAAATATGGCACCGATGCTGAAGCAATCAGAATGGGCATTTAAAATCACGGCTGTGATGGTACATTGATGGCTATAATGGGAAGAGTAGACAATTTGCCACAATGAGTGGACAACGTGAGCAGAGATGTGGAAACTCAAATAAAACACCAAAGGGAAATTCTGGGACTTAAAAAATACTGTGACACAAAGGAAAAAATACTTTGATCAGCCTGCAAGTAGAATGGACAAGCACAGGTATAAAATTAATGAACTCAAATATAGTATAGAAGGTAATACATCCAGGGTCAGTTCAAGCAAGAGGGAGCTGTTGCAACACAGGCAAGTCCAAGTCAACAGGTTGAATAGTGTGCATTAAGTTCTACACTGTTATCTGTGTTTCTGTGACAATCAGGTGATACATTTTCTATTGGGTCATTACTTGGCTAGCTGTCACCATTGTGGAAACCCTCTTAACCTGCAACTGATACCTGTGTGGAGGCTGTTGCTGTTGTCATTGCTGCCTGGATAATGTGTCACGTACCTACGGCTCCCAGACCCACTGGTTCCCAGTCTTCCGATCCAGATCTGACTTCTGTGCTGCAGGCAGGATTCTGGAGTAAGTGCACCAGGCCTGCCAGAAGACAATGGCTTCCAATCCCACAGAGGCACTAGAGCCTTGGGCCCCCAAAGGCGTGGAAATACATGGATGGTAGTGCCCAAGCCTGTTGGGTGGATGAGGAGATGTTTGTCCCTAACAGCACT